AAAAAAAAAAAAAAAAAAAAAAACGCTGATATGAGAAATAAGGGCATTTCATTCCAGTTACATCTCGTGCGCCAAATTTTCAAATTAATTAATTCTGAACGCGATAATTTTCTGTGTTTAAATTGACATAAAACTCAGTGAATTACATAAATTGTTTTCTGTTTATTTTTTGTTTTTTTTAGTAACATGTGAGATTTATATTAGAGAATACATTAACTTTTATTTGTTAGGAATAACGCGTCTCGTAACATAACGATAGTCTTTGTTAATCGCATCGTTTATATACGTCTTTATCGAAAAAAAAAAAAAAAAAAAACAATATAAAGTAACCTGCGGGAATAGCACGAACGAAACAGTACAAAAAGACGTGCGAACAAATTCCCGCGTCGGCTAATTAATGCCCCGACCACAATGGCGGAAAGCGCTGGGGCTCCTCGACCTTAAAACCAATTTGTTGCCCGCTCTCCGGCTCCTTGTTTCGACGTCGGAACAGCGCGGCGTGGGCTTGCATTATACTTAGGGTTCCGCCATTATGTTTCCCTAGTTTTGCCGAAACAATACAGCGTATAAGCGGCCGCCACCATCACGTCGTCCCGACGTGATATTACGCGTCGGTTGATGTATATCGTCGTCCCATTCTGCGGTCTGTCTTATTCCGACATTCACTTACTATATATATATAGAGGATCGGGATCATTATGACGTAATAAACGCGTGTTTAAAGCGAACGCAATGGACGACAAAAGAGAATTACACGCGTAAGGCGAGAGGTTAATACATACGTGTATACATAATCACACACATTGACATAAACCTGATATGTAACGTTTATATGCGCGTCTACAAAAACGTTTAAGTGTCAGAAAAAAAAGCTTTTAATGCCAGACTAAAACACTTATTATCTGCATCGTAAATAAGATATTCACTTGATATTGTTCGTTAAATCAGTTCATCGATTTTCCAATTTGCAACGAATAGAAATGTGAAGAAGATAAAAATACATTTATTTCTTCAGCACAACGAGAATTTAAATCGCACCTAAAATAGATAATTATTATGATTTTTTTCTAGAAAAGTAGGTAAACAATGTAAAATAAAAAAAATAGAAGTTTTTGGGTAGTATAGTTTTCATTGTAGTATAGTTATAGGGTTTTTGGATTATATTGTAGTGCAAGAGAAAAGTTTTTTATTTAATTTTTATGCACTTGTGCTTTCGATACGTCTCGGATGCTCCATTGCTATCAAAATCAAAGTCTTTGATGGGGCGCCATCAGTACTTGTGACAGAATTATCTAAAATCAAAATATTCAATTTTTTAATAGACATTTTTGTGTCCGTAAAAACGTAAAAAAATCACTTTTTGGCTCCTAGTTGTTTAAACATACGCTAATCATTGTCTAATTGTTTTTTTTTTTTTTTTACATTGAAAGTGGATAAGGCTATGTATATAACATTGAAGAATTTTTTAATTTTTTAATTTTAAATGATCCTCTCTCTGCTCTGTCGCATGTTCTGGTGGCGCCCGTTAAAAACTATATTGATAGCAATACAGCGAGACGAATCAAAGACACAAGTGCATAAAAATTAAATAAAATGTCTTGCATCCTATAATTGTATTACAACAGAATTCAGAAATGTTTGTTATTTTACATTGTTTACTTTTCTCGAAAGAAAATCATAAAAAATTATCTATTTTGGGCACGCGATTTCACCGGAAAGTACTTTTAAATCACATAGGAAATTGTGTTGGACATATGTCAATAAATAAGCAATCCTGCTTTGTTTACTCGCGTCTTGAGGTAAATACTTGATTGAACAAATATAAGCGATTAAAATAAACATGTCGTGAATTTCTTTCGCAGACGTTCTTTTAAACAATGTCGTTTCTTGCATTTCCAAAACAAGAAAGTTCTTTAAGATAGTTTTGTTAACGTTAACGTAGTATAACACAGGCGGATTTTCCCGGGTCTTGTTGCGCCGCCGTCGCGAAGTTGCATGAGTCTACAACACGAAATTAAATCCGGCCGTATAAACAGGCATCGTATACCTTATCACCGTTTACGAACGCGAGTCACGAATCCGTAGCGCACGTTGGGCGCGTCTTTCGCTTTTATTTACGACTTGCCGGTTCGCACCGCGAAGCGTCGATTTAATTCCGAAAGTTACCGGCGTCGCGAAACACTGGGGAAAAGAGGACCATCTCGCGCGACGCAATGTGACGACACGTGTTAGTAATGTTTGCGTAACACGTGAGACCTTCTTGCATTTTGTTTGTCTCGATAGCATATTTCTCTTGACGTGAACGGCGAGAAAAAAAATTTGATCGACACGAACTCGATAATTGAAATTAATCTCGAACATATTCGATAAAATAAAGTCTTACAGACTGTCTTACAGACTGATTTGTGCGAAATTGAAATCTATAGAGCGTTCTCTTGATCAGTCTGAAAGTAGAGTTTTTTTGTTTATTTATTTATTTAAAGATTTTGGAATGAATTTTGTGGGTCATATATGTAAATAATCATTAGAACGTAGTAATATTTCACCAAATATATTATGTAGTAATATTTTTGCTAAATTTTATTTCTCAGCTAGAAGAAAATGGGTCACACTTAAATAAATGTTGAAAATTCATTTAATTAATTTATTTGACTATTTTGGAGATAGTCAAAATTTAATAAACTATTTTGAAAATAGTAAAAATTAAATAAATTTCAAACTTAACGCTTAAAGAGAATTTACCACTTCTTTATTGTAAATACCAGTTTTTTTATTTTAGTTAAGTAGTTTCTGCACTAACTAACAATTACTAAGTTCTAAAGTTTAATTTCAGCGCTTATGGCACCAAGTTTTTATTTACGGTGCTCTTAACCTCGTGTTTAAACGTCACGTCGCATAAACTTACAAGGGTAAGGTGCATATCGGGGCGCGGTTATTACACGCAACTCGGCACATGCGTGCGCCCACACTCGGCCGCAATCTTTTCCATTTTATTTTCTTCCGTCCCTTTTTGCCGAGTGCTTTTATTTCCGTCTGTAAACCGACATCTTTATCGTCGCCGTTATATACGGGTTCAACGTACCTTTGAATTGCCACCGCTGCGCTGATTAACCCTTTCAAAGAGGTGATGGCACTGCGCGCGCGGAGAGAGTTGCGCAATTTATGCGCATACATTTCACTTGCGCGCCGGATTCCGTCGTTTTCTTAGTCATCCCTTATTCTCTTCGAATAGTAAGTCATGCAACGAGGGAATTGTATTGTAAAGCGCGTTTCGACATAAGGGCAGTTAAAGTAAATGAGTTCCATTTGATGTTAAGTAATAAATATTTTACATACGTGTATACGTATCCCTTTTTTTTTTTTTTTCAACAATGTTTCTCTCATTTCTGTTGCAGTTGGGTTTCTTCTTCTACTACACAGTGGCAATGGGGGAAGTGAATACTTCGGGGCCGGTGCCAATTGACAGTGTCTTCATTTACAGGCCGGACAAGCGGCTCGAGCTGTGGAGGTTCGCCTTCTATATGTTCTTGCACGCAGGGTGAGTCTCGCAAACTTTTGTCATTTTTTTATTTTTTGTTTTTTATTTTTTTATTTTTTTTTTTTTCTATCATCTTTCACACATTTTGTACAAAGTGCAAAATTTAAATAATGCCCGTTCCGTGAATACATAACACGCTCTAATTAACGGATATATTTATAGCTTTTTCGGATAAATATCGCGATTCTCGATCGAACGCGGCGTATTTATATTTTCGCATTTTGTCATTTGATACGGAATAAATGCATCGATACTTTAATTCTTGCCGCTTTTCGATATATGCATTTTTGTCGTTAATTTTCCTCGTCGTCGCGCCGATGCAAAATACATATATACAATATCCGCATTTATGCATCACTGTCCGGACGCGATTTCGCGCAAAGTCTCGGGATCACATTTTTTGCGCTAATGGATACGAAAACAAGTTGCATCGCATTACCAAGGGGCGCTGCGGGTAAACTTGCGGCTATAAAAATACAGGAAGAGCGAATCGATAAAATCTTGCGGAACTTTACGACCACAACAGATGCTTCTTTCGCGTCACTCGAGAGAGAACCGTATTCTCTTTCTCTCGACGCGCGTTTCCAGCCTACGACTCTCTAAAGTGAGAAATTTATCGTCTATATAGCGTATGCAAATAAACGTTTGATTGTATTTTCTGAACGTAGTTGCTTCGGCGATAAATTAATCGAAAATTAATTGAAACGCGTCCGTTAAAATGCCATTCGATATTTTATTAACATGTATTAAATATCTCGCTCATTATCGCACGTAGTGTTTGTTCGACACAACAAACGCATAAACGCTTTCAATGATTTTTAAAAATGCACCAGCTCGTACTGTCGCATTTTGCGAATTTGACTTCGAATTACCGTTTTATTCGTCTTGTGCGATTTTCACTTATTTCCAAATCTGACAAAATGGTTCGATGGAGAGAAATTTTTGAGCAACATTGAGGTCATCGATGCGCCGCAAATGGCTACGCTTTGGCGCACAAACACTAAGTGCGATAATGAGCGTGTGATATTTGTTCTTCTCGAAGGATGAAACTTGTCCACGACAATAGCAATGTCATGCTATTGTATTGCTATCTATGCGTCGTTTCGAAGCAACTACTGCTCCGCGTATACATGAAACAATTACAAAGCGACACTCCGTAATCGGCAATCGCGTTCCTACGAGTTGTAATATCGACGAAAGTTTTCAGGATGGGATGAAAAGCTCGTTAAATTATTTATATTCCTCTTGTGTCTTATTATGTTACTAGTATACTTATATTGAGCCGGCATTTTACTCTCATTGTGTTCCTCTTAAACGGGATCTCGGTCCCAGAGCGTAATAAACTTCATCTCGCCTTTTCTTCTCTCTCTCTCTCTCTCTCTCTCTCTCTCTCTCTCTCTCTCTCTCTCTCTCTCTCTCTCTCTCTCTTTTCTCTTTTTCGAACTTCTCTCCAAGTCGAAACTCTCTGTGTATTTGTCTTCCTTTCTTTACCGTTTACTTCTTTCATCGATCTACGTCTTTGTGCGCGAAGCGTTATCGCGCCTGCTGGGTTATTAATGCGAGGAACGCCCTGGCGCGCGTCCATCAAAAGTCATTTCTCCGTGCATTACGTGATCCCGGAAGATCTCGTCGGGAACGTCGAGATGTGTGGTAACGCGCGCTAAGTTGAAGATAAATTTCACGGAAGCTGATGAATTCGTCCGAGCAACGTTTATCTCAGGAAAGAAAACTCTCAACGCGTGTGCATGCGCATTTAAAAAAAGAAAAGCGAACGAGACGTTTGTCGTTCGCGGCCAAAGAAACCAGAATAAAGCAATTGCTGTGTGTATCGCAGTTTGACTCACTTTTGCGCATATGAACACACATATATCGCTAAGTTTTCGTCGTTATCTACAACACTCGCGAGTGTTACACGCACTTGTACATGAGCTAATCAAGAAACGCGGTAGCGTTTTGAACATACAAGTGCGAAAAAGCTGTTATTCACCCTCATCATTCTCTTACATTTACATACAAAATCTTCTGCCACTAAAGAGATTTTGTACTTATGTGAGCGAATCTTCTTGCATGCACTTGTTTAGATTGCGTTGAAATCAACAACCTCGTTCGTATTTTTAGCAAGTTCGGATTTACTCAAGTAAATTGAGTCAAATATCTATATTTGATTAAAGATACTTGTTATAAAAGAAAAATTTAATATAAAATTCTGCAACAAATAATAAGCTTTAATGTGTACGAGCGATATCAGAGTGTATGTAGGTAAAACTACTATTTATGCATGTTATATTTAAATATGTATGTGTGTGTATATTAAAATTCAATGTATCATATATATTAAACATATATGTAATAAAGTACATATTGTAAAAAGAGAACTTATTAATGTTATTATAATATTATTCCTAATATTATCTTTTACAAATATACTGTCGGAAAATTTTACTGGAGACTCGTCTCTTTTATCTCTTTCTTTCTCTCTCTTTTTGCTGATTGTTCTTTTCATGTCATATATAATGCTTCTTGAAACACGTCTTTCTTTTGTAACTTTTTTCGCATATGTTACATATGTAGCGCAAATAATTGTGATGTTTATCACATATCTTGAAAAAAACATTACATATTATCGTCACTTTGAGATCAGTGCGGAATATAATTTTTAAATAAACTCGAAAAACTTACTTGTGGCGCAGATAAGGCGAGACAGAACATAGAACATATATCTTTATGTGATTAAAAGCGTATTTTGACAAATAATGGTTATTACATATCTTCAAAAGAATATTATTCAATAGTTTAACTATGAAAATTTAATGCACAGAACATTTTTTACGCATACTATATCGAGAAACTGGACATTGATACCTACTGTTTTGTTTTATGAGTTTTAGTATGCTGCTGTAAGATATGCTTATGTATAAAAACTTTTTCCCATTTGGTACATTTGTACAATCTCTTTGGAGATTCATGAATTGTTTTCAAGTGATAACGTAAATCGTATGCTGATATGACAAATTTACAACACAACGTAATATCTTAAAAAGAATAATTGATTATTACATTACGTATATGATAAAATTAATAAAAGATAAAAAGAGGAAAAAGAGAAGAGTAAGAAAGGTGGGAGGGAAAAGAAAGGGAAGAAGAGAGAGAAGGTTTATTTATAAAACTTTTTATAACTTTTTGATAAACAACTTTTTTGAGTTTCCACGATTGATTCCTCATTTTAGTGATGAAATAAGGCGTTTGTTAAATTAAAAAACCGGATTAAAATAGGCAAATTTGGGAAAAGACACTAAACTGTGAACAATTATCATTTGTTTTTATCTTGGGAAATATAGATTTTTGTAATATTGACATATACTTCGAGACTGCGAAGTCAGTATTACGATGCGTCGACAAAGACACACGAGCTGTCAGAAGGGATCAGAAGTGCGATCCATAATTAACGGTTTAAAAGGCCCGAATGCTTCACAAGCCGAATGACAGACGATTAATTATAAAAACAAGATGGTCCGCGCTATCGAGCGCTTTTTTCCGTCTCCGCGAAACGCCCGTTTACTTTTGCCCCAGACGCTATCGAACTTCCTCTGTTATTAATGTGAAAACTGTCTCTGCGTCGTGCTTCGAAATCGCGTTTCTCTGTCTCTCTCCTTTCTCTTCCTCTCTCTCTCTCTCTCTCTCTCTCTCTCTCTCTCTCTCTCTCTTTCCCTCTCTGCGTCTCTTTCTCGTNNNATATACTCCCAAACGGTACTCGTGAGAAAGTCAGAAGTGCGGAAAAATCGAGACAATCGCCGTAATTGCGGGAAGTCACCGTTCGCGCGGCGGCAGCGCGTTGTCCGGGAAGAGCAACACAATGGTATCGCCGAGTTCGCGAAATACGAAGCCGCACACCGAAAGGATCGCGTCGCTCGAGACGGGATACCGCTTCCGTATCTCTCTCTCTCTCTCTCTCTCTCTCTCGTCGGCCGCCCGCGCGCGGTGTATCGATTCGCACGAATCAAACTCGAATTACCGAGAAACGCTGTGTCACGAGTAATTGTGCGAACATGTGTGCGCGACCGAACGCCACAAAAAAGATGAGAAATTTTTATCTTTTCTAATAAAATGTAGCGCTCAAACAATCACGCTTTGTGCGCGATAAGCACCAACATATGGCAACGCGCTCTCGAATGACGCTCGTTTCGATGACGTCCTTTCGATCTTTCGTATGTATATACGGTCTATTGTTGCGAAATTTTGCGACGAGGAGAAAGTAATACCGCTGAATCTCTCGTAACTCAATTTAAATAACGATGTCCACCCTCGTCGGCTATACAGCGTACGGGGTAAGCTCTTGTTACATCGCGCGCTGCCGATGCGACATTATGCATGCGCGACGAGCGCGACGACACGCCATTATGCGAGTCTTTCTAATGTCGCATAAATGCGCCGGAGGTTCTCTTAATATCGTGCTTCTTAATATCGCGCCCGGAACGATATACCTGCTCGCCGTTCCTCGACACGCGCCACGTGGAGACTGAAACTTTTGTCTCAACCCATCCTCTTCGCGAATTAAAAAATTCTTTTTAAATGGTTGCCAAACAAATCGCGCACACGCGCGATTACGTCTCGGTTTTGTCTTTTCCCGCAGAAAGACCGAAAATACGAATTACAGCACTTTCATGTAATTAGTCGCCGAAAAATAACAATTATACAACAATTGCATAATTAGGTAACATGCACTATGCGTCAAATACGTTGTAATTAAATTCCAAATAAAAAATAATAAAATTAGTTTGTTATTTTCAAAAAAAATAAGATTGTTATTTAATTACATTCCACACAAGTTTTGCGTGTTCCGTTTATAACTCGAGAATTGTCGCGTTACTCCGATTGGGATCTCGAGAGAAACCAATTGATTGAAGAGTCAGTCATTCGAATTAAGACCCCCGGACACTTCCCTCGAACACTTATACAGAATTGTTGTCGATCGCTGAAACATCACTTTCGACATGTTCGTCCACGCCTTAGTCTTTTGTAAGTAGGAAGTTTTCGGCGCGTAATTAACTATTAGCGCAAGTAGAGTTTGAGAAGAGAGAGAGAGAGGAAACCACTTACGTCTGTAAGGAACATCGGAGTCAACTTGCTTGGACAACTTTATCCCTTCGTTCTTGCTTCAGACAAGTTACCGATATCGACTGTGCTCTCAATAATAATCACTTTTTTTTAGCGTCGCTCACGCGACACTAAACTATCGCGAATTGTCGATGAGAGAGAGAGAGTTAAATAGCAGCCGACTGTTAGGAGATATCGATTGAGATGCTATTGCTTTGTATTATACACAAAACGCTTTATGACACTTGCAATTAAATTTATAAATTCTACTCATTCGTATTCGTCAAATAAAAATTCAATTCTTCCCCGAAATAAAGGTTGTCTTCTTCATTACGAATCGGAATAGATGACGAACACAAATAAGATATAGATGAACAGCTGAGAGAATATTAATCTCTCGCACACCCAGAAAACTAAGAAATCCGTCGTCGTCGTCGTCGTCGTCGTCGTAATTCGTACGCCGGCACAATGCCTGAGATCCGTCTAATTGGTATCCAATTAACAGAAATTGGCGCGGCCGGTCTGAGAACTTTGTCGTGACTCGAATGTCTTGGGAGCAGATTTTGCTGTGATTACAAAGAAGAAATCGCGCACACAGGTTCATTGTTTAATGATATATATCGTCGTTACGTACACACCTCATCGAACGCGTCGTCTACAAGTAATATAAGTCTATAAGTAATTTCATTTAAGAATATTAATTTATGTACGTGCGCGATTGAGATGTTTTTTTCTTTGATTAACCCGATATACATCGACAAAACTCGACATTGTTTGCGTTCGAATAGTTTAATAAATGAATTAAACGTAAACTGCGTGTGTGTGTGTGATGCAGTTATTCGATATGGTAATTCTAGAAAATTTTTTGATGAATTCCAATTGATTGTAAATATGTTGATTCAACTCGAACCGACATTGTTATAAAACAGACACAAAAAGTGTCTATTTTATCATACGCGCGCTTACACACGCATAAACAAATAAATATAATGCATTAATTACAGGGCAATAATTGAGCAATCACGTTCTGAATATTAAAATAATTTAATATACATTATAATCTTTCGTGCAAATTTCTCCGAAAAAAAAAAAAAAAAAAAAAAAAAAAAAATCCGCGATAGTTCCATCAGAAAATTGAAACAGGGTTATCGTACGAAGATCCAGTCAATTCACTCTCTCTCCATCGGCGTGGCGGCAGGGATGGTAGTGTATAGACGGTAAAACCGAAAATTTATGTCCCCCGCTCTCTTCCATGGTCCGCGCGCGACGCAACGCCTTCTTACGCGCGTTCCATTCCGATGATTGCGTTCTGAAAACATATCGACGCCTATATATCACGTTCCGTCCCGACACGATTTCCGAGAGAGAGAGAGAGAGAAGGTTTTCCGCCCCCGCGATCGAGACACATCGACCATTTGCATTCACACGGCAACGAGGCGGTAAGAAACGCGTTGAAATTCCGAGCGTCGATTTAATTCGGATCTAATCATGGTTACCTGCTTCTCCTCTCCTCTCCTCTCTCTCTCTCTTTCTTTCTCTCTCTCTCTCTCTTTGTCTTCCCTTCCCGCCCTGGATCCGACTTCGCTCTTTGCAAATTCAACGGCGTTGTCGGGTCTCAGAGAAACCGTGGCATCCATTTCTGTCGATGAGGCCCGGCAATCGCCTCGCGAACGACACTCGAACATTCCGAACGATCGCATTCTTTCCGTTTGACCGCATTGCGACAGAGCGCACGACGTCGATTAGACTTCTACCTGATGCAAATTGGTCGCTTCCTAAGCGCACGTCGCGACTACAGCTACGGGACCTACGGGTATACGCAGGCTAATTGCAGCCGATAGTGTTCCGAATGCAAAAAAAAAAAAAAAAAAAGAACAGAGAAAGAGTTCTCTTTTTTTTTCAATCGAGTCTCGTCTCACGGAAAAATTCAGCGAATGCAAGAAACTTGCAAGAAATCGTCAATTAAATTCAGAAAAAATATATCAAGATCGCGACAACCTAAGAAGAGAACTACGAGAAACAGATTTGTATTAAGGTTGTCTTTCAAGATTTTTTAAATAAGATTTTATATTTTATTGTAATATGTTTGTAGTACGAACAAAAGAAGGAATATCTTAGAGTTTTACTTCTGATCGACAACTTAGATCTCGCGACCGCGTCAACTAAAATCATTCTTTTGAGATTTTCCGCGCTCTCTCGAGCGTATGACACAATAGATAAGAGGAACATTCATTTCTCTCTCTTTCTCTCTCTCTCTCTCTCTCCTTCTCTTTGCCCGATACGTTTCGCAGGAAAAGTTTCTCCGCACTGCGCGAGATAATATTCATAATTGCTTCTACAGAGCCCCTCTTTTCCTTGCGAAATTTTCTTTCGCCGATAGCCACGGCTGGTCGCACGAATTATCCAGCACAGTCCCGATCGTATCGTGTTCCTTTCTCAGTTATATCGCTCGCACGTTTTATCTCGCCATGCCTTTCGTTGTCTCGATTTCGCTTCTTTTCGAATTTCGGGTTTTAATCTCTCCCCTCGATGATTCTCACGCGATGAACGCGCGTTTATTTTCCTCCTCCGATTTTATTCACGTTTCGCAATACTTTATGAAAGCTAAGTACGTTTCTCGCGAGATTTATTATTGCCCGCGCCGTCGCTCGCGCGAGAATCCTCAGCGAGATGTAATAATTAGTCGGCCCAAGTTTCACGATAACGGCTGGATATCGGATTTTCGTGTTTCTGCGGTCCAGAAGTCGCTGATAAAACTTTCCCGCTCCGACCGCAGCCGGTATCTCGCAATTATTTCACTCCGTGGCGTTCCTTCCCTAACCTTCTCTCCTCCGTGGCATCTTCCGTCGAAACGACGCTCCGAGCGAATAAGAATATTGTTTGGCGTGATTCCCTCTTCCTTCCCCTCACCCCGTTTCTATCTCTTTCTCCCGCGCAACGCGAAGTGAGGTATAATTACCGTAATTCTCCTCCCGTACCGATAGTCACGAGTCGACGGCGCAGTCATCGCATTTTCGACTCCGGCGTTTTAAGCCGCCCGCCCTTCGTCGGGCTCTTATCTGCCGCGCCGCGCGCGGCGAGGGAATCGCTAACGAAATGTTCCTAATTAAAACTACCGCCCGTGGCGGGGATATAATTCACGATTAATGACTATATCTTTCTTCTCTCACTGCGATCCTATATACCGCAAAAGTTTCCGAGAACATTTGGCGATCGAAGTTTTGCTTTTACGTGTGTAACACATGAGTAGTGCGATATGTTTTCTGATCAATGTTTTCCCCGAAATTCGTTTTAACTTTTAGATTAGATCTTTACGAATCAATTTGCGTTGACTTTGTGTCTAGAATTATTTTCTAACAAAATAATTGTCACGTGTTGGCGACAATGCAACATTACAACATCGCTAGTATATCAAAACTAGCATATCAACAGTTACCACAATACTTTTTTATTATATACAATAATTGCTAAACATGTAGTTATGTTGTCTTCTGAAAGATTTTACGACGATTACATTAGTAATAGGCTTAGTTGAGAAAAAGTTGCGGTGTAGCGCTCCTTCCAGTGTTACAATTGTTTCTTTGGTCACCGTAATGACAAAGTACGTCATAGACGCAGCAGAGGAAGTTTGCACGCAAATGAGTCGCGATTAAATTTAAAAACTTCCCGGATCACGTCGTGTCTTACTCCCCCCCTCCCTTTGTAACAGCACAATCGACATAGTAATTTACCGCACGGTCGCTTTTTTTTTTCAGGTGGCTTCATTTACTATTTAACCTGGGGGTACAGGTGGTCGTGGGACTTCCCTTGGAAATGGTTCACGGAAGCCTGAGGATCGCCGCGGTTTACATGGCCGGGGTTCTTGCTGGTGAGTAATGTCGTCTGCAATGTGAATTATGTTATGGCGCATCTACGATTTATGCTCGGACGTTAATGCTCGTTTAACCTTCGTGCGTTGCCCCGCATCAAGTTAAATCAGAGTTTTCCTCAGAATAATTATTGAGATCACGAGAAATTTTTAAACAATAATTTGCTAGATCAAGATTTGAATATATAACGCGTATAAATTAGTTTTAATCTTAATTTCATAAACCTCCGAACATCAATGTCCGAACAATTCTTGAAAATGAGATGTCTTAATTAATTCTTCGCGAACAGACATGGATTTTTCAGACTCAAAAATACCGCATCGATATCTCTCGTAAAAATTAATTTGTTTTTAACGCTTATATCTTCGAAACTACTAGGTACTACTAGGTACTACCACTTTCTATTTGTGTGTTTTTTCTTTTGATTGACGCAGAATTGTTCAAATTTTTGATTCAAACAAACAAAATTGAAAAAATATTGATTTTTCGCGGAGATATTCGATTATAAAGTCGTGATTATAAACTCACAGACTCCCAGTCTGTCTAGCTAGTCGTTGTTTTTGTAATCTGTTCGCAAAGAATTAAAATATTTAGTGGAAGAATTTCTATAAAAAAATAAAAAACTATATCAAAACTAATGTTATTTCCTTAATATAGAATGTTGAATAAAGTTCCACGCGAATGTTTACAGAGAGTTGTTTTAACATTTTTTAACCAATAAAAAAATCACGTCAGACATAAACGTTCAGGATACGTATCTAAAAAAACGTTTACAAGATTGCAACCAAGAATAGAGTTTGCACATACAAATATATAAGAATATGATAATGATCATATATCTTTCTTATTTAATGATTCTTGTAGATGTAAACATAGTTGAATGTCCAATATTGAACAGCTTGTAATGATATGAGATGATAATAAGAAAAAGGATCAAGGTTTAAATATGTTATTTACACGTTATTGCTGTTTATGTATTAAAACAAAGAGATGGTTTTCTTATAAATAATGTATATTAGGTACGTTCATATATAATTAACTTGCATTCTATTAATCAGAATTCAATTACGTTTTTTTTCTTTTTTTGTTTTCAAGTATTTGATACTCTCGGTTTGTGTGATAGAGTTTGTTTTCTATCTCCCTTGTGTTTCTCCACGTTTCCAACCGGAGAACGTTGTTTTTGTGCAATTGGAGAATCGCCGAAATTAGTCTGATGGTGCATGTAAACACAAACGGGTGTATGACACAAACATCACACGCATTCGGACTCCGAGATGTCCAAAGCTGTACGTGTGTGTGGAGTGTAATACGTGCTAATTTATCCGAACACACATGCCTCTCTGCAACAACGAGACGTTTTAATTAAAATTCGTTAATGTTGATACGCTCTGACAACTGGATAATGAAGCACATCACGCTTTTCATTTCTATGCGATTCTACTTTTCACATAATCATCAGTCAACTTGATGTCTCAAAATCTTTGTTTTGCAACAAACTAAATTTTTTTCTGAATTTATCGCGTTGCGAACGCGAGCGCAATTTTTCCAACGCACAGTTGCCATCTTTTAAGAATTTCAAACAATAATTTTGAATTTGTTTTTCGCGATAATTGATAATTTTTTTGTTACATATTTTCCGATCGTATTATACATGTGATAAAAATACGGTACAATAATACTGGAATAAATACACGTAGTAATAAGTTCGGTCTCACTTGTTGAAGAAAATTACGAAAAATCGTATCTGTCGTGTTTCCTCACGCTGGCTGCTGCACTTCACAACGGAAACTTCATCAAACTTTTCTCGATTGTTGTTGATTGTCATCTTGTTTTTTTTTCTCGTGAAATTTCTCGCGATTGTGTGTTTCGAATTGTTTCGGCATATCTTCTTCATTGCGCGGTCCTTTCCTTTGGAGCAAGCGTGTACGTATGTATATCTCCATTTCTGCGTTCGCCTAAAGTCATCCGCAAGAATGTACCAAGGCGACAGCTTGTCTGGCCCACCGCGACGAGATTACTTCGTATGCATCGCGGTCGCGACGATGTAATGCGATTGCAACGACGCAAGTGCAACGATATTTACATTCCTCTTTCTTCTCTTTCTCTCTTTTATTGTATACTCACAGCGCCTTCGTTTTTACATGCATTCTATATCGCTCGCTTTTTCATCGACTCTCTCTCTCTTTCTCTCTTTCTCTCTCTATTTGATATTTAAAATATTACGTTAGTGTCCTCTGTAAACTGGAAAAAAAAAACTTTCTTCAATGGTCGAGTTTGCCGATTCTAGCGCGATCCAATTTACTTTATTTTCGAGTTTTCGGAAACGATTCATACGATACAGTTTTCACAAAGTTCAATCGCGTTGCGCTAACTCGCCAAAGAGTGCAACGGCCAGTTTTACTGGAAATAAAATAAAAAACAAAACAAAAAAAATAAAAAAAAAATGACTAGAAAAGGGATAGTAAAAGCCGTTGATGTTACATTTTAATCACGAGGAATCCGAACGAGCGTTTTTTTGTATAGTACAGCCATTGACGTACAGTTTCGCTCTTCTCTACACTTGCCACCTCTTTCGCGCGCGCGCAACATGTCCACGTATGTGTGTGTTTTTCTCCACCCTTCCGCCCATTTTAATATTTTCAGCGCAAAAAACCCCCGGCAAGCATAGTCCGTCGTTGCGTCAAAGGGATATTAAAACAACGGAACGATATGCGGGATGTACAAAATGTTGATACTGCGCGCACTCTTCGCTTTCAATCCGGTATTTTGCGTGTCGATGATCGCGTTCAGGATGCCGAAAGTTTCGGCAACAAAGCGCGCACGCGAGGGAGACAGAAATAGCCAGGGATGGAAAAAGAGCCGGACCCGTGTGCGAATAACGGGTTAGAAATTTCGGCATTTTTTAAAGCGCCGCTTCTCGCGAGATATCGCATATCCTGTATGAGATTTTTAATTTCGACGCTCCCATCACAATGGATATATAACTCGGGAAACAGACGTTAATCTCGTTAGATTCGAGTAAATAATGCCGGTGTAAAATTAACTCCGCGTTTTCACCAAGTGTGAGAGTTCTAAGTACGCGTAGTTCTATTTGCGCGCGTGCGATATGTTTCGACAGTTTTGCATACACGTCATCATTAATAAAAATATATAGTAACTTTTCACAAGTAATATATCGAGAAAAGAGGGTTTTCACATGAATGGGCGGGGAAAAGAGGGAATGTGTGTAACTTAGAGAAGAGAAGTTAAGTAAGTCTAGAAATTTTTTAATTTTGAATTTTTATAGATAAGATACTTCAAAAAAGTAAATAATTCTATACCAGTTACTACGTATGTTTGTCTATTCACTAATATTTTGATAATAAGTAAATCTCTGATAACTATGATACTAAAAACTTAATAATTTTTTACTTTGTGTCAAGTGTGTTAAATTGTCTCGGTAGTTAAAAACATGGAATAAGTTGATTACAAGCTTGTAGTATTAAGAATAATAAAAAGTGAAAAATATATTATTTATTAATTTATTTTCATGAATTATTGATATATTTTATTACGTTTTTATAAAAATAAAAGTATTAAAAATAAATTTTTTGTGTTAGATAAAAAATATTTAGGTAAAAACATATACAATAAATGTTTAGATAAAAATAATTTGAATGGAAAAACAAAAATAATTTTTTAAGTAAATGAAAACTTATAGTTTCATAAAATAGATAACACACACAAAATAGTGTTATCAAATAAGTAAATAATAATTATCTTTTGATATTAATGTTAGAAAATAACAATATTCTGTTGAACACTATTGTCATAGTTTGAATTACAGTGGTTACATACATCAAATTAAATTTCAATACAGTAAATGTGTCATGTAACCTCGAGCTACGATTAGTCTGTGCTAGTAGCCGTGCTCGTCTATTCGAAAGATTTGCAGCACGCGAATATAATAACACATGGAATGAAAACGAACTATTGGACTATATAATATTGAGACATTTTTAAATAAAAATAAATTGTTCCGTTGACACGTGTGTAGAAAAAAAATTTAAGGATAAAACATTTTATTTATGATTTTCAATAATGCTACATAATTCTCGTGCGATATGCGATCTCCTTGACATGTGCAACGATTGTTAAATTTTCTAAACGATATAATATACGTTTATATTGTTAAAAAATTTCTTTTATGGCAAATGATCATGGCGAATAAAATGGATGAGACAACAATTCAAAGTTCAACTCGAAAGTTTTTGCAACAGTTAAAGTGTGAACTGGTGCATCGTGTCAAAAATCAATAGGAGCATCTATTTTTACGAGTTCTCACACAAACACAACGCGCGATAATGAGTCAGCGTTTGACATTTGTTCTTTTGAAAGATGAAACTTGTCAACAACAACGACAACAGCAACGCGTGATACTATTGTCGTTATCTGTGAGTCGTTTCAGATACTTAAACAATCGTTCCTTGCGGGCACGCTGCCTGTCGCGCATGTAGGACATTTCTGTCTCCGCAATTTTGTTTTATATTTAATTGGTCGATCTATTCTACAATCTACTAGCTTCTCTTGGTTTTCTTCGTCGTAAAAAGTCTCTCTCGTCAACGTCGATCTTCTACCGCCATTACACATATGTGCTCTGGTCTGTCTGCCATAAATATCGCGGCTATAACCATAAAATTCCGATGGCGTGTTCCGTCTTTTTTTTTTTTTTTTTTTCCGCGTGAGACGTACATGCTTCACACATTATATTTTATGCATTGGGTTTACATGAAAGTGGCAACGCCCATGTGTGGCGCTACGCGTCGCAACGCCACTCATCTATGTATATACTACACTGTATACGTGGAATACACGTGCACACATTGTCGTTCCGAGTGGACACGGTATTCACGGCGCATCACTCGGAAGCTTGGATATGTCGGTAGCGATATAACTGCGCATCGCGGCGCATTCGCAGTAGACATTTAATGTGATATTTGCGCACCTTCTCGCGCAAGTT